ATATAACTAAATATAACTTTATCAATCTATAAATATAAATTGAAGTTAATATAATTACGTATATTAAAAAATATATATATATACACATGCATATGTGACTAATTCATTCGATACTATAATTAATATAATTACGCGGCGATACCAAAATTTTTTCCAAGATTTTGGTTTATTCTAAAACATTGTTTTCTCGATAATAAAATTAATATTTCTATTTCACCGTTTTCATTTAAAATGTATATATTTTGCACGTTGCTGAAATGATACTTCACCTTGATAAGCTTTCAAAAGAGCTATGCGGTTATCACTTTCCAATCGGAAGTGATTGCGACCTACCAATGTATACCGCACAACCGGGTTAGCTCTGTGATTTTTGACATATAGATGGATATAATCCGTTTAGCCATTTGGTCGATACGGGAGAGACACACATTACAGTTTCCTAGTATAAAATGTGAGAGATTTAAAATGGTAACTTGGACCGTTCCGAAAATATTCGCCTGTCATATTTCTTATAAGGATTGTATATTAAAATTTAATTAAGGGAAATGCCAAACCATCATGTTATTTCACGGAAAAAAAATTATATCATGTGCGTTATACTACGATCCTATCTAAATTATGTTTATGTTGGAATTTATTTTATAAAAGAAAGCTTACTAAAAGAGAGAGAGAAACATTTCTGAATCAATAAATGTGTTTGTAATCGTAAACATGAAAATTAAAATGTCAGATCATTTAATTTCAATTTATGGGTTTTTCTTTTAATCATAATTTAGTTCAAAGAAAAATTATGCGTGCAGCATTGCATAACTCGAATAAATTTTAATAATAAAAACATGAAAGCAAATGATATAATAAAAAATGAAAAGAAGATGTTGACAATTTCTAAAAGCATAACGTTAAGGGTTTTTATTATTATAACAAACGAATAAATTCAAGATGCTGTCACATTTTCATATAATGTGGAAACGAACAACTTAACCCCAATTATAATTTTCTTCATATTAAAATGTAAATAAAATGAATTAGTATTTTCTCTCAAGAATAATAATATTTCAGCGAATTAAAAATTCATTATTCTCAAATGGCGTTCACAGGGAAGTTTTATTAAATTATTTCCTTTGATGAGAGACAGACGCATATAGCTATGGTAGTGCAAGGGTTTCCCGGTGCGAATCTTATTGGACAGCTCCTAAAACAAATTACGCTGCCATTATCAAGGGCAATAGTAAAACGTGTGAAGAAACGTCCGTTTTTAAGAAAACATATCCTGATTCAACTGGGACATTTTTATTATTTGTGCGAAGATATAATAAATCGGCGACAGATTTCAGTTGTAAGAATTAAAAAAAGAAACGATAATCACACAATGGAAATAGGAACAACACTACTACTCGAAGTAAAGATAGCAATTATGATATTACTCGCATTGAAATGCTAATTTTTTTCGGTTGCATTTCACAAAATATAATTCAAATTCATTCAATCCCTCAGGTATTAATCTTTGGATTTTTGGGGAGTGTACTTGTATATGAAACACGAAAGGCTGTAGAGAGATCGCGCGTCGTTGAGCAGCTGAAAATTCAGGAGTTCAATGACTTAGAGGCGAAGAAAGATCGACTGATACAGCAAGTCGCGGATCAAGTGATCTTGACGAAACGACTCAAAGAAATCATTGTAGAGTATTCGAGACAAGTCGGATGTACGTTACCGAGTGATCCCGAGGAGAAAGGCGAATAGAATGCTCCATTTGATGTAAGGTAGTCGCGAAGATTGCGAAAGAATTGTTAAAGGAGATTTGTCGCGTCCTTAAAATATTGCATTTACGCGGCGGACAGAAAAGAAAAACTCTTTCTCTGTTCCTTGTCGTCGCAATTTCTTTCCGCGGATAGAAATTTGTCGCATTACGTTCTCGGATGAACCGCAAACGGACGAACGATCCTCATATGGAGCGCAGACCCTGCTAGCACGACAGTTCGAATATTCTTCCGTTTTCGCCTGTCTGTCGTTCCGGTTAACATTAGCATTCGTTAGCATAATGAACGTTATTTCCGCGCGCGTTCTCGCTGCGTGTCTGACTCACCGTGACGGATTTCACAGCGGGCGCTTGGATAAAATTTGACTTTCAGCATCAAAATCGACAAAGAAGGGGAAAATATCATTAGAAGCAGGCGTTACGGAAAATGGGCGAATCACGTTGATTCGACAAGCAAAGAATAGATTATTGCATATTCTAATTTCGCATTCACATCGTAGAACATTTAATAATAATTTGGAGATTTACATTAAATGACATTCTAAAAAGTAGCAGAGATGTTGCACATTTCTATCAATGTAATAAAAATTTAATCGTGAAGATCGCAAACAATCAAAGATCGTGATTAAATCATCACTGCAGGGAGCAAACCAACTCGGAGCGAACCAACTACAAATTCAGGAAGTCCAAACCGGAACTGGCAACGAAGTTTGCAATCTCTTACACAAATACATGCACGAGTAACGTTGTCTGTCTACGTGTAATTAGTTCGTATAAGTACAAGATCGCTGGAGTTAAAACCGATTCGCGCGGAGGAATGTTTCCGGCAGGAGTCCGATTACAAATGTAGGTACTCTGCACTGGAGAAGCAGAACATTTTTACGATCTTCTTCCTTCGTTGTTCTTGACTAAAAAGAAAAGGTCTTTAGCGAAAAAAAAAAAAAAAAGAAAAAAGAAAAAGTATATTTAACATTTCGCCTGAAAACGCCGATTGTAAGGCGAAGATTTATCTCGTGCCTTCGTATGTCTTATACAATCCCAATGTTTTCAAAGCAAAAAAAAAACATTTCTTTTAACTCTCTGAATAATACATCTATATTTTAACATATTCATATCGTATTTGTATATATTTTATACAATCGCTCCAATATTTATGTATCTCTCATTGAACATTTCGTGCTAAATCTGACGAACTTTTGTAAAATTTCTATGAAATATATGCATATTTCTTTCTCTAAACAGAAAATTATTAATTTATATTAATAGTGGAGGGAAAAAGAGGATTATCCTATACAGTCTAAAGTGTTATTCTATTTAAAGAAACCTTAAAAACGTTATGATATACGGCGAAGAACATGTCTGTGTTCTCGGTTTTCTTTTTGGAATTATATCATTTGAGAGACACACTGCCTCGGAACCGCTCCACATGGAATATTACAAGGAACAAGATAAACGTCATATGTACGCGAGAATCTTAGACACCTGCATGGAGGGAAACACCGATCGTATATCCGAGATCTCCAAGCATTCGAGAGTCTCTCGAGAGAACATTTCGAGTTCGGTTTGAGACAGACGTGAAATTCGATATTGATGTCTCCGTGACATCGCGATCGAGGAAACCCTTACGAGGGACCAGTTCTCGCAAGATACACCGATTCAAATCGGGTAACAAGAGAGCGACGATGCATCTTGTACTCTATTGGCGTAAGCTGAATAAAAATATTGACAGAATTCGAGATATAAACTCGTGAGATCTTTCCGTAGCTTCTGTATTTCCTGAGAGAGGTTAAATTTTCGAGATAACATGTTAGAGTGAAATAAAAAATGATAATCACTCTCTATTTCATACTTTATTCCTGTATAATATTTATTTCTTTTTAAATTATAATTTATATTTCCGTTTGAAACTTTTTACTCGTATATCGTAATTAATTATAATATATAATAATTAAGTAACAATAACCCCGGAGAGGGATCTTCAATGAGAAAGTTAAAAATTATAGTTTTCTGAACTGCTCAGTTAATCGCGAAAATTTCTTGAAGATTAATACTCAATTTTGCTTACAACGCAATCTCAAATAATTTATTTGAGCCAAATAAATAATTCTGTCAGAATAAAAAGAATGAACAAGCTATCTTCTTATTCACAAGGAAAGAAATAATATCAAGGATAGCTATTACAACCGCGTGCTGAATCACAATCAGATATAATTCTTTGACGCTCATTTTGTAAGGTGAAAACTTGGCGGTAAGGCAAGTCATTTTGCTTTAGTTACCGAGATGTTAATGAGACACTAATTTCCTACGAAATCATTCTTGTTATCTCCCTCGTTGAAGAGAGAAGCATAGAAAGTACTCTGAATTGTAAACTTAAGCGAATGTTCACTCAATTGTCTCTTTCTTTGCACTACTTACTGTATCTATAAATTATATACACTACATAAAACACATTAATATTATATT